GTGCGGTGAATTGTGGTTTGTGTGCGTGTGCAGGAAAATGTGGTGTGGAAATGAGAAGCTTGTGTTGAGGCTACAACGTCGTGTCTTTTGAGTTTACACCAGAACCAGTTTGGAATCAGTGAGAAGATACACCAATAAGATGTTCATATTTGGACTATGAGAGGAAACATAAGCTTTCTGAAAGATGCCAGTGCTAGCCACTGCACCACTGAGCTGAGCAGACTTACCATTTTGTCTTTGAAGTATTTAAGTTCATATCTGTTGAGCGTGAACCACCTTTGCTTCCAGTTCTGCAGAAAAGATTGACAGCATATATAAAATCAAAATCAAATCAAATCAGTTACTTCAATGTTACTTCATCTCAAGCTCTGAAGCCATGTTTCTGAATTATTCTTGTTTCACACAGTTACATAAGATTTCTGTCAGTAACTGTTCTTGCATGTCAACTGCTGTTACCTTCACAATTGCCCCTTGCTTCACCAGGAAGCCTTCCTTTGTCCCCAGCTGAAAAAATAGAAAGTACATTTTAAATTGTAAACATTTCAAGAATAACTGTGGTTTATTCCAGTTTAAGCTGCATACTGTGAATAAGTCTTGGCTATATAATCTTTAAGTTAAAATAACTTGTGTGAATACCCATTACGAATAATGCAACATATTTAGATTTTATTTAAAGTAATGTGACGTACAATACAGAGTAATAGGTCACCTAGAAAATAAAAAAGGTTTATCACACCAAAAGTTGCTGTGGTCAGATAATCATTGTCCGTACATAAAGACTGAGGGAGAAATCTGAACTTATTGCAGTTGTTGCTAGTTGAATCCAAACGTGCTTATCACAACTGCAAAGCCTGATCATTTGAGCACAAAAAAGTCTCCATAATAAAAAAAAGACTTTACGAATTGTTTAGGCATCATCAGAGCACACTACTTAATATTTAAACATGTGAGAGCTGCGAGCTTGTATTTATGACGAAAAAGAGCCCTTCCCACGAAATTCGCCAGATGTTGCTCACATGAGACTACATGGGTGTTTGCAATGGTTGTCGTACCGAAGGTGCATTTGCTACCAGATCATTTTCTGTGCGTCCTGTCTGTATGGCAGTGTGAACTCGCACAGATTCATAAATAGATGGCTCCTCCACACGCCATGGATACGGACTCTTCAAAACAATGAGGGTTCCTGGTTAAGAGACAAAGGTTGGTTATATGCCCGGCAAGCCGACTTTAAAACACGGAAGAAATAAAGATGGACGTACATTCCTGTTTGTCAGTATACTTCTTGGGTGTGTTTTAATGCAGTCTTTATGTGTGCATCATAGCTAGCATTACGTTTTTTGATGAAGATCATGGTCTGCATACCTGTGTCGCTGCCCAGCAGAGGTTGGTTAGCAAAGTGGTTGACAAAGTCTTGAAGGGTTGGAAACTCATTAAAACCAAACACATAGCCATTGCTATTTCGTGTCACCTGAAAATGCTTCACTGAATCCTTTGCCCTATGTCAAATGACAAACAGCATAAATGTTTCACTTTAAAAGTCATTCACAAGTAGAAGTACACTAACCACAGACCTGCAGATATTTAGCTTCAAAATTTAGCAAGTACGTGTTTCCTTTCTTCATCATTGTTAAGATTCACATACTTGCTTTTAACAAAGTGTTTCTAGGTGGTTCACTATCACCTCTCTGTCTTTCTCCCCACACACATGTGTGTGTATTTATATCCTTGTGGGGACATCTCATTGACATAATGCTTTCCTTAGCCGTTTACCCTAACCCTAACCATCAAAAATGAATGCCTAACCCTGACCCTTACTCTAAATCTAACCATAACCTAATTGTAACCCTGACACTAAAACCACATTTTGAGTCTCAGAAATGCCTTCAAACTCGTGGGGACCTGGATTTTGGTCTCCATGGGGGCTGTTTGTCCCCACAAGTACAGTAAACTACCAATTTTTGGTCCCCATGAAGATGTTAATACCCGTCCACACACACACACACGCTTTGTGTGACTAATACTAGAATACTTGGTGAAAACTGCAATGAAAAACTTAAACCTTTAACCTCGACTTTAAGGGGATCTGGTGACTCTGTTATTACTAAACACACCAGTGAGAAACCAAACTGTGCAAGACAAGACATGGGGAGCAAGGCAAATTTAACTAAAAGCAAAAAATAAAGCTATAATCAGGTAAGATAACTCTGCATCTGTTGTGACATCATTGTTTTGTCACTGATTGTCTGTTACGGTTCCAAACCCATGGTGCACTTCCCTCGTTCACTCACCTAACGGACAGGGCGAAGCAGTCTGATCCCTCATTACTGTTTCTCAGGAGGTAACTTCCATCCGTCCCATTGGACAAGAGAAGGGCCTCTGCAGCATGGCGAGACAGGTCATAGTGGTACCACCTTCAAGGCAATAGTAATATGATTTTTTTATTTTTAAAATATGAAATAAAACCATTGTTAGATAAATGATATGAAAGGTCAAATTTTTATCTACATTTTGACACGCGGCCCATCTTTTAGCTACAGTTCATTCTGTGTCAAATCGATTTCTAATATTTCAACAGAAACAACAGCAGTCTTTATACAACAGCATGGACAAATCACAGTAATCATCTGAGCTTGTGCTCAATTTACAAAGACTTGGAAAAACTTATTTGGCACCTAAAGCTGCTTGCTCAGTGTGACATGCTGAAACTTTTACATACAACACTGTACAGCAATGTTATTTCTCCATTTCACAACCATAAGCGACATTGGTGAGTGTTAAAATGTGACGATTTTGGACAATGACTTTAACAGAGAGTGAAGCTGGAATTAATCCTGGTCTAAAAAATGCAGATTTAAATAATCTGCTGTGGGCTTCATCTAATGTTTTTCCTGAAGACCAGGTCTGAATGAAAATGCTGACTTTTATAAGGAGAGTGTACTGCTGGGACTTCTGTCTCATATGCAGAACCTGTATGCTTTTTACACTGTTGTGCAAAATTACGTGAAAGAACAGGCTTATGTTATGATTCAAGGTCATCTCTGCAGTACTGTGAACCTCAGACTGTATGGAAATATAAAGGGAACTGGTAAAAGGATGTGAAAGTTCTTAATTTGCATTAAAAGTTGCTGGGACTGTTTAAAAATATCACTGAAAGCAACAGCTCAAGAAAAACCGCTAGATTCAAAAGGTTCTGATCATATTTTAAAACCAGCTGCAGAATTATCCGTTTAAATTCCACACTGAACATTAAGTTTTTCTATTTCTTGTTTGCAGAGTGGCAGTTCTGAGTTTAAATGCACCATCTGGCCGGAGCCTTTCTGTGTGGAGTTTGCATGTTCTCTCTGGGTACTCTGGCTTCCTCCCACAGTCTAAAGATGTGTGATAGTGTGGTTAAATGTTAAAGGGCGTTTAAGTGAATGTCTGTTTCTCTATGGTAGCCATCTGCCTCCCTGACAAGGATAAGTGGAAGAGAGTGGATGGATGGATGTTTGCAGCGTTATTGAGGTATCATATACGACTGTTCCAGAAACTCCATGCTGACTTTATTCAGTGCATTTATAGTAAGACCTCGTTTGTCAGAGCAGTCTGTGGATACATCCTGAGGATTGTGGATTTGGAATTTGTTGCGTTTACAGAAAGCTTCTCTAACATTTCGTGAAATATATAAGCACACTAAAAGTTCAGTCACCATGTGTGCAGCATCCTGTGGTTGAACATTACATTTTGCCTTCCTCAAAAAAAACAAAGTATCAACAACGTTAGAACATACCATCGGTATGATAGAGTCACAACTTATTAGGCCAGTATGACCGTAACCGTTAAATACCAGCTGCGTGTTTTCGGAGTTGAGTCTCGGGCGCAGTTTTGTTCTGTGCGGCTTTAAATCGAAGCGATTTTGTCGGCACCCGACTTCCGTAAATCAAACAAACAAACAAACAAACAAACAAACAAACAAACAAACAAACTGCTTTAAGGAGCGGAACGGGCAGTCCTCGACATCTCTGAAACGCGCCATGGCGCTTCTTTTGGAATTGGAAATATTGTCCTGAGTGGGTCTGATATGTGCAGGAGGGACCAGAACACAACAGAAAACTCCACAAAACATTACACGGAGAGAATTTATAGATGAGCGAAGTGTTAATAGGCTGCACAGTGAGTCGGTACTGGAACTTGTTTTCGGCATGTTACAACTGACAATATTCCCCTCGTGCAAAGTAAATTAGAAGTGTACACATAACTTACGTAACAACCTGTTAGCACGGAACTCAGCTGTTTAATTTTTGCTTTTAGAAAACGTTATATGACAATCATTTATGTTAGTAAGTTACAATTCTTGTAGATTTCAGTTTCACACTGTTTCACAAAACACTGATTTAAGAAGCACATCCTGTCATTCCTAACAAAATACACAGCACAAGACAGAGACGATGAAACATGTCACAATATATGGTCTAAAGATAAACGAGTTAGCTCTTTGTAAAAGGACTTTACCGTGTAACAACAGTGGTATAAAGCTATGGTCTTGCTTTTTATCCTGCTCATCAAATTGGTGCGCGCTGGTGAAGAATCGCGTAAAGTATCGCTTTTAGCAGTTTAATGTTTTCCAACAGGTGAAAGGTGTTTATAATTCTCAACCTGGCCTTACCCAAGACTCGCTAACTCGTCACTCAAGTCCTCGAAAGATGCATCACTGAAAGAACTCATCTCTCCAGCAGATTTCAGTTAACCTTAGTTCGGTGTTGGTCTAACTAGTGGAGCGGCCAAATAGAGAAGTAAAAACTGCTCAGCTCAGTCACGCCTACAGGAAATACACACGCTCACCAACCACTGAATTAAGCACACGAGATACTCCTCAGGGATATTGGTCTATATCGACACCGTGCAGCTGCCGCAGATTTGTCACCTGCACATCCAAGATGGAATCTCCTGTTCCACCCACATCCCAAAAGTGCGTTAATGGTTTGAGGTCTGGCGATTGTGGAACCCCCATTTGCGTTTAGTGAACTCACTGCCTTGTTCAAGAAAGCAGTTTGAGATAGTCTGAAGAACACTTAACTATACAGCATCTAACACTTTACGAGATAATTATAATATAAATTGGGAAGCTGAAACACTTAAATACTTGGGAATAATTCTAACTAAGAATATTTCTAATCTATCACAAGTAAAGTATGGTCCCAGGCCATAAAATTTGATTTAGATAGGTGGAATCTGGTGCCTTTCTTAAATTTAAATTCAAGGATATTAGTGAAAATGAACGTACTCCCAAGACTCCTCTATTTATTTAGAACTTTGCCTGTTGAAGTAAGTCAAACACAGTTTGGGGAATGGGACAAATTGATTTCGCGCTTTATTTGGCATGGGAAAAAACCAAGAATTAAATTTAGATCTTTACAGTTAAGCAAGGCAAAAGGGGGGGCAACGCTCGCATGCTTACAATACTACTATTATGCATCTCAGGTCATCCCCCTGCTGCAATGGTGTAACCCGAATTTGAAAGCTAAGTGGAAATCCATAGAATTCAATACAACCCCTAAATTCCAACTACGAGCCTCAATTGCGGATAAAAAAAATTGGCAGACCGTTTAGAAGATAAAGGACCATGGATTAGCCACACTTTAAAAATATGGAATGGTTTAAAATCTGTGTCATAAGCACACCATCTAAATACTTTTAGTATTCGTTCACTACCACATATTTTAGTCACTTT